TCTTAATATGAACTAATTTTAAAGTTTATTATAATCATGTTATAACATAGCTTTAACACATCTTATGCATAGGCATTTATTATGCAATTTTAAGATGACTGACATCTCCTCTTATCTATATTTCATATGACGTCATGGAAATTGATTTAAATAAAAAAATTTGCATGTTCTTAGAGGATTTTGTTGAATTTACAAGGACTGGGGAAACCACATTAATTATTGCTATGTCATCCTTGCAAGCTAGCGAGAAATGAGATCTAAAACCTGAGCCAAACAATATATAATTAGCATTAAAATGACTCAAGCATGAAAATTAATCAAATGGGATTTGAAGAGTCTTATTATTCTTGTCAACAAAGGAATATCATACCTGTTTGCAAACTTTTATTTTGATTGCTCATCCCCCCCCAATCTCAAATATGAGAGGCACTTTAGGTTCCTATCACACTTCTCAAATAACATTTTTTTTAAATTTCTGTTGTTACAGTCTTTGCTGTCATACATAATTAATATGTCTCTTAAACACAGATGATGCTGGCTGAAAAATTGCACAGCATGCATCCCAGGTGTCCAACTTCTTAAAAGTAATTATTTCCTCTTTCTGTTTGTATATTATTTAATGTTAATAAGATTTTTTGATGAGTACTTCCTGTTTACAACATAATGTCTTTCTTCTGAGCTCAGTAAAGTTTGGGTTGAAGGTCAAGGTGTTCATGAACTCAAGAAAAAATACTTCATACAGATTTTTTAACTCATTATTGCTGAAGTTCATCAGTCTAATGAATACCTGCAGTCAACTCATTCTACTGATAGACAATTCTAGAAAATAGAAAATGAGTGGGGAGATAGGAAGGAGAAAAATTCAGTAAAGAAACATGAGTATAAGAAAGAAGCATGGAATAGAATTATTTGTTAATCACGTGGAGGGAAAAGCAACAGGTGTCAAAGGACATATAGAAGATATAAATAAGGTTGTATATAGATAAAGTAATTGACTACATATGTTGCTATATATGAAGGTCCCTCAACCTAAGAATAGACGACCAACCTCCACCCCTTCACCTGGCTCCAGTGAACATGATCTTGATACTGGAAATTTAACTATTATAAATTCATTATTTAAGTTGATTTTTTCCTTATTTAAAATGTAAATACCCATTAAAACACATTAGAAATCATTCTTTAGAAGAGTCTACAGTTTGGGTAGGTTGTTTGTTTTTCTTTAAACCTCAAGTTCTTTCCCTATACAAGTTTTGTTAGTCAAGGAAATATTCCAGAGCACTGTGTATGTCCCTGAGAATCAGAGACACATTGGAGAGTAGAGGGGAGATATCCTGACTGTTTTTGAGATAATGAACCTGTTTTTGTTTGAAGTAAATTAAAATATGTACTTTGTCTGAAGTCTTCTTACCTTGTATACTTCTATGAGATTGAAGAACACTTAATACTTTCTGTAGAGATGTGGCTCAGAGTCAAATTCTTTTGTCCCCAGGAGCAACACTAGGTGTGAACTTGAGTCAGAGACATACTTAGTGAGACAAACCTAAGATTAAGTTGAAAAGGCTGTTTCCTTTCTTGATATATTTGCTAAATTAGTGGATTAGAGTAATAGTGTAGATAAAGTTAATCTAGTGAAGTATGTGATAAAAGCTGATCTTTTGGGAACATGTGGGAAAATATGGACTAGACTCAGGGGTGGGGAACCTGGGGCCTCAAAGCCACATGTGGTGCTCTAGGTCCTCAAGTGTGGCCCTTTGACTAAATCCAAGACTTGAGGCCACAGGTTCTCCAGCCCTGGGTCAGATTAAAACACAATTAAATAGATTTGACACTGGTTGAATGACTTGGCCCTAATAGTAGTCATTAATGTTTTGTGTCATTTTGGAAAGAAGTCACCAGTGGAGTGCCCCAGAGATCTATACTTGGTCCTGTAGTTTTTATATTTTTTTGTCACTTACTCAAATAGCAGTGTCAGTGGCATGTTTATCAAATTCATAGATCATGAAATGCTGGAAAGAATAACTGACATCATAGATGACCATCAGGATTCAAAAACATCTGTACAATCTAGAACATTAGGCCAAATGAAATAATCTGAAATTTAGTAGGGTTAAATGTTAAGTCATATTTTCCATTTTAGAAAATCAGCTTCAAGGTTGATATTAGCAAGGCAAGGATGGTTAGGTAACAGTTCAAAAAAGATCAGGGAATACTTTTAGCAGACAGAAAGGTCAAAATAAATGAACAATATGATGTGACACATGGGAAAGCCAATGAAATAGTAAAACATATTAAAAGAAGTGCAAAGTCCAGGACTCATGGGTTCTGTCTTCATCAGACCAGGTGAGCCATGTTGTATTCAGTTCAGGCAACACATTTTAGGAAGAACATTAACAACCTGGATAACATCCAAATGAGCACAACAGGAGTCATGGATATTTTGTTTATGAAAGTGAATGCTTGGTAGGAAAAGGAGATGTGAGATAACTGAAAGTCTTTGTAGGCTTCAAATAAAAAAAAGGATATAGTTTTTGTTTTTGTTTTTGTTTTTTTTTTCCTACATGCCCTGGCAAGGTAAAATTAGGATCAATTAGGTGTAATTTGCAACAAGTTAAATTGAGGCTTGATATTATGAAAACTTCATGATAATTAGAGAGATAATTGAAGTGAAATGAACTGCCTTTGTAAGTGTTGGGTTCTCCCACATTGGGGATCTTCAAACAAAGGCTGGATGGCCATTTGAGTGGCACATTGTAGAGGGGATTCTACCTGTATAAACTGAACTAAAAGCCACTGAAGTCCTTTCCATCTCTGGATACTTTCTAGCCTAAGAGCTAAATGACAGTCAATTTCTATGGACCTCACAATTGGGAGAGAGAGAGAGACAGAGACATACACAGACAGAGAGACAGAGGCAGAGAGAGATACACAAAGAGTCAGAGAGACACACAGAGAAAGACAGAGACATCCAAGACTTTGAAAACTGAGTAGACAGGGCAAGCCTATATTAAACACCAAAAGGATGTGGTGGGAAGGAGAATCAAATGAATAAGGTTAGCGGACAGGGGATGAACAAAGACATCCACACTGTGGTTCTTTGAAGCAAAGAGGGAAGTGCTAAAATTTGGAAGTGAAAATGGACCAAAAAGAGGATTTTTGTAACTTCTTAGTTTTCCTTGGCTATGTGCAAAGTATTTTGTGATGAAATTTTAATATGAAACATCCTTTGTATATTTTTATATTTCACTGCTAATGAAATGAACATATATCACATTTCAAGTATCATTAAAAGAACATACATTTCCCAATTTATCATAAGAGAAGTTATCTATATGAAAAACTATCTTGTCAGACTATGGAGCTTAATAAAATTCTTAAAATATTTTTTGCATGTAAATGCTTAAATGGATATGTAACTTTTATTTATATCTAAGTATTGTAATACTCATCTCAGTAATTTTTTTCAAATTTTGGGCAGTGGTGGTCTACATAAACAAGCCATGTCAGGTCTGAATTCATTAAATAGCAAGAAAGCATTTATATTTTCCTGTAAATAACAAGAAGCAACCTATGATGCATTCGTGATTAGCTTGTGATGGTACATGCGTATTTGCATGGATCAAATATAATTCTCTCTTACATATTGAGATTTTAATTGATCTAAGAGAATAATCACTTCCAGTCTCAGCATGCCCTTAGTATTTACTGTTATTATATAAAAAGCATATATAGCATGTGTGTAAATGTACATATATATATACATATATATTTTTATTCACTGTCTTTCCCTAAAAGTGAGAGACTTAAGTTAACCTATGTCATTTACTGCTGTATAAGACAAAGTATTTGTCCTAGAGGTAGAAGCAATGCTTATTTTCAAATACTATACTGTTGATAGCAAGAGACAAGACTAAACAACATGTTAAAGACTATCCTTGTCAGTCTATGGTTTATCTGAGTAATATAATTATTTGTTCACTCATTTTGCATCCATTTCTTTAGCATTTCCTATGTTCAAGGCACCTTGGACAAGAACAAGTACAAGCTGCTGCAGAGGAGATAAACATATAAAACAAAATTCTGAGTGTCCAAGAATTTATATTCTAATAGGTGGCCTAAGATAAGTCTTTAGAGAAATGTGATAGATAGTATTTTCTAATTATTACACAAGTGATGCAGATAACAATATGAGGGTAAAAGGCAAAAGAACCTCCCCTATCAGAACAAATTGTAATAGTGTTTTCAAGAAAACATTAAATGTTTTAAAAGGATTTAAGGGAAAGGAGACATCAGCTTCACTTGGAAAAGATAAGTGAATGCTTAATGCAAAAGGTGGGATTTGAATTGAATTTTCAGGTGTTACTAAGAAGATGGTGGGTAGAGGTGGGGTAGGCATATTTTAAGTAAAAGGAATGTCATTAATAATTATATGGAGGTAGATGGCATAAAGGAAAATGAAAACTTCAGTTTGAAGTATTCCTTATAGGAAAGCAGTGAAAGTGGGCATGTATTTAGGGAGCTATGGATTTGTTATGTATACATGTGCAGTTTAGGGGTCACTCTATTAACTCATTGCAAAACTAAATATGAGTACTATCAAACTGTCCTAAATAGCATGTATCATTTTGAATTGTCTTAAGACTCATTTCTACATAATGTGATGTTTCTGATAATGGCAGTATAATAATTTAAAATACTCATTTACCAAGATTATATTCCTACCACCTTGATCTCTCCACATACACTCAGTTCCCATAGTACTCAACATATTATTAGTAAATAATAATTGTTGATTGGTTGGCATTATATTAAAATGTGAACTTTACTAAAATATCAAAAAATCATATATAAATTAGTACTTCTAAAATGGTTTAAAGCACTCCTTAGTATGACTAGGTTAAAATGCAAAAAGGCATATTTTTTTCCTAATCTATATATGTACAAAAACATGTTCAATATTTTTATGAAATTAGAACTATGTGACTTTGTTTTCTTTTTAGGTAAGCCAGTAATGATAGTGACAGAATATATGGAGAATGGCTCTTTAGATACATTTTTAAAGGTAAGATTTGCAATAGTTTTTATTCATCACAGCCATGACACCCCCAACACTGATGATTTGTTCATTATATTTCCATGTAAGACTAACATTTCTTCATTATCTTTCCAGAAAAATGATGGGCAATTTACTGTAATTCAGCTAGTAGGAATGCTGAGGGGCATTGCCTCTGGAATGAAGTACCTTTCTGACATGGGCTATGTGCATAGGGATCTTGCAGCCAGAAACATCTTAATCAACAGTAACCTGGTATGCAAAGTGTCTGATTTTGGACTTTCCAGAGTACTAGAAGATGACCCTGAAGCAGCATATACTACACGGGTAGGTTCTAATGGTATCAATAATACGAGAAATCAGTCCCAGGCCATCATACTAAAGGAAACTAAGAATATTTTGTTTCAAAGATTTTTATGTTCCTTAGAGCATAGAAGTAACTTGAACCAAACATCTATACTTTTGCCTCATAATAATAAATGAACTGATGCCAGCAGATTATTTTTAATTACTTGGAGGAATGTCCTATGATAAGTTTATAATTAATCTCACTGAAAAAGTAGTTTCTTTATATAGTTGTTTTTCCAAAAACCTCCAGTCATGAATCTATATTCACACTAGCATATTTACCATGAATCATCCCCTGTTGCTTTTCCCAGAAAAGAAGCTAGCTAGCACAATTTGATCTGGGTCATAAACTTCCCTTACTACAGAAAAATGCCTATGCTTCTCTCTTACATAATGTGTATATATATATACATACATGTGTGTGTGTGTGTGTGTGTGTGTGTGTATGTGTGTGTGTGTGTATTTAAAGTTCATCCTCCAGGTGCTCTTTTAAAGTCACCTGTCAGTAGCATTCAATTCCCTATGACCAAATTAAAGTATTTCTTTTAATTTATCAACTATGTAAACCAAATCCCATGACAGAGTAGGTGGACATATTTGGGGAGACTATCTATTTAAGGGTTGTTATAAGTCAACCCATCTTTATTGAGAAGGAAATGATAGTTGTCTACCACCCTTTTTGTTGTTTTTTTTACCTTTAAATTCCCTCTAAATATTTTAAATAGATCATTTCATTCATCTTAATGTTTTTTTCATTATATCACTCATGTGTAATAATTTCTAACTATGAAAGCTGAGTCAATTTTAATATGAATCCACACTCTTCTCATTTATCTCAATTACCAGAGTATTTTAGGCAAAGGAATTTTTGACCCATATTATCTAGCTATTTTATTTAATTCTTCACTTTACCTTATGGTGGTAGACAGAGCCACAAAAAGAATAAGTATGGATTTTTCTTAGCAGTTCTATTAGACTAAGATTTGAGCTAAGAGGAAGACTACATTTCTGTTCTGAATCAAGGTCACAGATTGCTCAGAGTAGAGATTACAGGATTTCCAGTAGGACATATTCCAAGTAGTAACCCAGTATGTCATTCCCCTCTACCACATCCCATATTACTATCTCAATTTCCTATTGAATATAGATATGCTATGGACCTTTATTTGTTAAAAAAAATATAACCACTATTTTTATTAACAGTCATTAAGTTTTCCAGGTGTTATTGGTGTAAACATACTCAATTTCACCAAGTCATTTATTCTGTGCTCAATTCACAGTAGACAGAAATCTTAGCAGATCTGGCATGGCTTTCTGAATGTTTAGACCAAAAGATTTCAATTAGTAATTAAATTTATTTTATATTTCTCATAGTTCTGAATTATTTATTTATTCTTTAAAGAGATAATGCATTAAAGCACTTTGGAAAAACTAGAAACACTATTTAAACATGAGCTATTAAGATGATCTCAGATTCTTAATTTGAATGAATGGCCAATGGAAATCCTATGATACCTATAGAATTATCAAATATCAATTCAGTTTAATTAAGCATATATTTACTAAGCATCCAATTTGCAGAGCCCTGTGATATAGCCACTGAGGAAACTAAAAAGATAGATCTGTGTCTTTATTAGACAATAGTCTCAAAGGGAATATGATACACAAATCACATATAAATAAATATAAATGATTGGCAATATGGTGAAGCAGATAAAAGTCACAGAATCTAAAAGACTTTCCTATACTAGACATGCCATTATGAGCAAGTCTCTTAAAGTCTCTCAGTGCCCTAGGCAATGCTTCAAGAGTATAAATTGCAAATGAGTTGCCAATCTCTACTAGTAGGGAAAGTTTACACAAAAGGAATCTATCCAGTTCTTTCCCCATACCTCCCACTCTCTCTGTGTATGCCTCTGTGTGTGTGTGTGTGTGTGTGTGTGTGTGTCTGTGTGGGTGTGTGTAAATCTTAGTTCATAAGGCATAAGTTTTTAAAAATCTTTATCATGAAGTGAGAGTCAGTATAAATATGTAACTATCAATATATCATCCTTTAGAAATTATATAAAAACAATTATTTTTGTAAAATAATTCTTTTATAAAATTTGTAAAAAAAAATCCTTTGTAAAAGTTCAGTTGGGATAGGGTTTTATGGTATCAGTAGCTGCTAAGAAGAAGGAGGAGACAGTGGAAGTCTCTCAGACAACAGCCTTCATGGCTTTATCAGAGCATGGCTCTGACAGCTTTGACTAAGTAAAGGGCTATGTTCCTGATCTTCATAGAGCCTGCTCATCTGGAAATGAGTGGGATGCCACTCAATACTTTCTTCATATGTGTTATGGTTCCATAGTCATGGTCTATACATCACTTTTTAGCACATAATCTTAAATATTTTTTTTTCTTCCCTCAAATGGAAATTCTACCAGTTTATATCAGGGATTTCTGAGATAGAGTGCCTTTACTCTTTGATACGAGTGTGGTTGGTCTTTTTCCTAAGCAAATATTTGAAATTCACATGACTTTCTTTACCTCAAAAATAAAAACAACATAGCTTACAGAAGGTAGCATTTGCTTTCCTAGGTTTGCCAAAAAAAAAAAAAGAAAGAAAAAGAACTAGGAAAAAATACTTTCGGCTTGAACTAGTCAAGATTATGAAAATGATTTCCTCTTTCAACTGAGGGATTTGTTTTTAAAAATCATCCACTGCAATTATCATGCAGAATAATTTTTAAAAATGGAATACTTGGTGAGATTTGTCTCATGCTTTCATTTCCATTTATTTCCTTTGACCTGGTGATATCAAATGTGCTTCCCACACGAAAATGTGCCAGAAATATAAAACCAGAAGAAATAAACCAAGTGTGTGCACATATGCATGAACTTCCCACACATCCACCATTCCCACAGTGATGTGATCCTTAAAGGCATGTGAGGGAGCACTCACACCTCTGGATTTTTTTTTTTTATTTTCAATCCTTGTAAAATGAAGGTAGGAAGGGAAGAGAAAGGACTATAAAACATTTATGTTCTCTTTATTTTTGTCTGAAAGTTATGAAAATATTCTTTACTGACCTGCTTGACTACCTGCCTTCCCTTATTCATGGTCACCATTCAAAGCAACATAATTGAAATGTGGATCCTATACGTGCTCTGGTATTCAAACAGAATTTAAAACTACAATCCTTTCTGGATAGGCAAGTAGTCAGTCTACAAGTGCTCATAGGCTAAGGTATTCAGGAAGAAACTAAGTGCTGTCAAACAGATTTATTTTACAATTCTACATCTCTTTCCAAAGATTTTCAGGTGAGGAAACTGTATCCCTAGATGCCTCTAAGAGATGTGGATTGTTATTTTATTTATTTATTTAAGTACTTAATTTTCCTAGGGAGGAAAAATCCCGATCAGATGGACTGCACCTGAAGCCATTGCTTTCCGCAAGTTCACTTCTGCCAGTGATGTTTGGAGTTATGGAATTGTGATGTGGGAAGTGGTTTCCTATGGAGAGAGACCATACTGGGAAATGACCAATCAGGATGTGAGTACCAAACCAAGTACTTGCTTATCAAAAATATGGATCTTTTGGTGCATTTTACCTTTTAAAAAGTTAAAAAATAAGAATTCATTTGCTTTCTCCCCAATCTTTCTTCCTGTGATAAAATTATTTCAGTTATTTTCCATTAATTATTACTCTATTTATATGAAAAAAGCATATTTTAGATACATAAAATTTATTTTCATCAGATGATTCAATTGTATGGCAGTCAAGTTTATCTCTACTTCAGCCAATAATTATAGTATCATATACATAAAGATGGAAAAGATCTCTAAAACCAAGTAATCTAATCCCCTCATTTGACAAATAAGAAAACTTGACATCAAAGTGACTTGCCTTAAATGTCATAGTTTATAAGAGCTAGGATTTGAGCCCAGGACTTTGATTGGAATACTTGTCTCTGATGCTAAACTTAGGCAAAAACTATAGCTATTGTTCAAGCATTTTTAAGGAAATACCGCAATCTAATTGACACAAAACACATAGGTTTGACCTACTTTCTCCTCTAGGATTTGTGTAGTCCTTATTTTGATTGAGAGCCCCACTTTGTTACTGGCCATATGACCTTCTTGGAGTCCTTTTCTGAGCCTCAGTTTTCTAATCTGTAAAATTGTGTTAATAATATTTAAATCATTAACATCAAAGAAATGTTGTGAAGAAAGCATTTTGTTAATTTTAAATCACTATCTAAATGTGAGTTATTGACATGAATGGCAAGATGACAGAAAATATCGCATGAAGTGATAATAATCTGCTAAAATAATAAAGCTATACAAATAGCCATGATAGTGCAGAAGTGACCCTGGTTCTGCTCACTTCACTCTGCATCAGTTCATACATTTCTTCTTGTATTTGTCTCTGAAACCATCCCTTTCATTATTTCTTACAGGGCAAAAATATTTTATTACACTAATGTACCATAATTTTTTGGCCATGTCTCAATTGATGGACATTCTTTTACTTTCCATTTCTTTTCCACTACACAAAGATCTGGTATAATGATGTCTGTAAATATTCATGATCCTGTATTCTTATGTGGAACTTGTGACATACTCTACCAACCCAGAAAAAGCTTTGGATGCCTGCTGTGAATGGGCTCCATGAATGTCTATAGGTCAAAGACAAGCTTGAAGCTCGTTCCTAGAGGGTTGGAAATCAGGTGGTGAATTTTTTTCACTCATAGAAACTGACAGAAATTATATACTAAAACAAAATATCTGTGTAGGTATGTGGAACACACACTAATGTATTAATAGAAATTTCAAATGCATTTTGTTTAATCTTTATTAACTACTCTAAAATCCTTTATGGAAATTCTGAATTTATTTCATAGAGCAGAATACTGAAGCTTAGTCTCATCAGTTATTCCCCTGAAAACCCATTATTGAGAAAAATGTGTGCCTTGTGAAATTTTCTTTTCTGCTTAAACCACAGAGATTCAGCAGCTCCCTTTTCTACTAATAGTTGATTTTCCAAGCACATATCCACATAACGTGAAGGAAGCAATGTCTGAGCATTACAGATTCTTTATGCCCTTTATTATGTTTTGCCAGAAGAGGCAGCACTTTCTAAATTGAGTTAACACTATTGATTTGAATGTCAATACCAAGAGCAATCATAGCTTATAACATAACTTCAAATGTAGTATGGGTATGCTGAACTGGTGCCAGTCTGTCTGCTACCCTTATTGCTGCCCTTTTTTTTTTATTTGTCAACTCAGAAAAACCTCCCTTTTTTGAAAATAAATAAATAAATAAAGTGCTTAAGACTGACAAATGATATGATAGACCAAATGGGATTATAACTCTTGGAGTTTTATGATGAAATCGTCAATAAAGGTAATGAGCTACATGATGCCTTGATAAATTAGCAACTAAACCCCAGAATTCCTTTCTATAGATTATTGGCCTTTCCCCTGTGCAACCCTCCCACTCCATCCATACCCAGATTATATCTATATCTATATCTACATCTATCTATATCTATAGGTATATATGTATGTATATACACATATATGTGCATATATGCATAAATATATATTATCATAGACATAAGGCATTCAAATCACTATTTAAAGGTAAATTGAAATGATTCAAATGTGATTGAATCAATTATATTCTAGGATATAGCCTGTATTTATCTTCCTAGGAGAAAGATCTCCATATCTTCTCCAAATTTTTAACACATTGCTCTCTTCTACACACTATAATCTAGCTGTACTGTTCCACTTGCTGTTCATCTCATATGATGTTCCATCTGTCACTCTGCCTTTTCCCCGGCTGTCTACAATACCTGCAATCTTCTCTCTCCTAAACTTTGGCTGTAAGATTACCCAGTTTCCTTCAAAACTCATCACAAGTGCCACCTCCTCCAAGAGGCCTTTCCTGACCCTCCTGGGCTGTTACTTAATAATTATCTTGTATATACCAATTATTATATATTGTCTCCCCCATCAAAAGGTAAACTCCTTGTGGGCAGGGTCTGCTTTTCTTTTTCTTAGCACATTCCCTTAAAAAAACCAAGTAGTGAAAAATGTGTTGTGCTGCGCTTATTTTTTTAATGTTTATAAAGAGAGACTTATTTTTTGTTTATAGTGATATTAATAATTATGCCCTTCAGGTAAGAAGTCTTTTTGAAAAATTGCAAATGATGACTTTTCTCCATGTGAAGTTTAATATGAATCTTTTCCACTGTACTTTCTATTAACTGAGAACAATTGATCTGTCTTCATTCTTCAGTGCAATGGGATGGTTACTTCTCACCCTTTTAGAAGAAAATCCATGCTATAATCTGGCTCAGTGGGATAAATGATAGCCTAGAAAGATATATTCAGACACTAGCTGTGTTTCACCAATCATTCTTGGGAAAAGGGCAAAACCTTATTTAATTGTTTGGATTTCCTTGGGAGAAGCATCAAGGAGATGATTCAGGGATGCCTAATGAAGTACATTAGAAAGAATTGATTAAATAGGACATGTGAGAATTGGAAGACAATTCACTTCACTTCAAAAAAGTGTATCTCATTTCTATTATCACTCAATAGAATTTGACCTTTTAGTGCATAGTATGTCACTTTTCCTGTGACATTTAAATTAGTAGACACAAATTAGGACCACTATCAGAATTGGGTTGGGTAAAGTGTAAGTATAACTCAGGATCAAATTCCACATCATGACGAGAAAATCTCTTCACCAAAACTCTGTCCTTGTACCTTTTCAATCAAGTTCTACTCAAACTATAATGCCATTGAAACTACATTTTAGCATTTCTTTAAAGAAAATGTAGGTATTAGTAAATTGACCTTGAACAATTGCAGTTCTTCTTATCTAAACATTAAGAATAAGGTTTCTGAACTGTAGGATATCAGGGAAATTTTTGTTTCTTTTCTAGAACATTGATTTTATATGGTTTGTAATAATCACATTGATATCTCATATATGCATGCTTATGTATACAGATTCAAACATATCAACAAAACATGGTGTTTTAGTGGTTTTGCTCCTTGACAGCCTAAATATTCATAACATTTAGCTTCTTTTTTTCTGACCAAAATAAAATTTCAAAAATAAGATTAACACAAAATTTTGATGATTAATTTTATATTGTCCTTGACCAGTGAAAAAATGATTTCAAATTGTATTTTTGTCACAGTTTCAAAATAATTTATACAGAGTATCACAGTGCTCAATCTCTAACAGAGTCCTCTTGTTCATACCTCTGTGTGTGTGTGTGTGAGTGTGTACATTTGTGTAATGAAGAAAGAGAAAGAACACAGTGGAAAAAGACATTGATTTTGGAGTCAAGGGGAAAAATGTTTTATTCTTGACTTGCCTACAAATTAGATTTGTAGTACTCGATAATTCATTGCCTCTCTGGGCCTCAGATTTGTCTATAACATAAGAGGATTGGACTTGATAACCACAAGGCAACATCTAAATATAAAACAAATTCTATAAATTTTATGAGTATGTGATAGAAAACTAGACTTATACAAACATTCTATAATGTCTTCCTCCCTATATATAGGTGTGTCTATTACATATAATCACATCATCTATATAGCCACATTCAACAATAGGGCCATTGTCAGAAATAGTTAAAGAAAAGTGCAAAGTAGATACTAGTCCTGTATTATAGGGATGCTTTTTTCAAATTTCTTCTCAAAGAAGCAGAATTATTTTTACATAACCAACATGAAAACCCTGCTCTATGTTGTTTCTGTTCAGTCAGCAGTTTGTTTTCTGAGTTTAGCAGTGCTATTTTCCTAAAAATGAACTGAATTTTCTGTGTAGCTGGCAAATTGGCATAATATCATGCTCCATGAAATTCAGGTAAAACTTTTGGCCCCTACAGGTTTCAATAGGGTATTAACAATCAGGGTTCATGGCCATTTCCCCTGGAGTGACTAGTAAACCTATTGTAGAAGCATTCTCTGACTCACTCTTTCTACTCATTTGGAGATGTCTAGGTCCTGAACTTGTGACAATTATATAAACACTGAAGAGGGCAATAAAATATTCCTCAAATTTGTTTCTGAAAACTCAAACTTTCAAAAGAACATTCTGCATGAGAAAACACTTTTTCTCTGTAAGCTTCAGTTTTCTCAACTGTAAAACTGACATATTCATTCTTGTACCATCTGCCAGATGATAAGGATCAAATGAGATAATGTATGTGGGTTTTGTAACTATAAAACACTCTTGAAATATAAGACATTATTTTTCCTTATAATTTCATAAGAATTATTTTTCTCAATGTAATCTTTCAGTCCTTCAACTGATATTTGTAGCATGACCTCATTTTCTCCTTGCTAGTTGTGGTACAATCTAATCACATTTAATATCTGTTGTTTGTTTCAGATATAATTCTGTCTTCATAGAAATATCATTTACTTATTAACATGTGTTTATCTAAAATGTCTTATCTCCGACAGATCAAAAACGAACTCTCTCATCCCATTATCATTTCTCAGAGTTGATACACTACAACAATTTTCCTTAATCATCTAATCCTGGGGTAGTATTAGTGATTCATGGTTCATATTTTGGGGTTGGGTGGACAAAGAAGAGCCCACAGAAGAAGATAGATAAGAAAGATCAGAAAAAGGACAAGAAACAATAGAGAACAGTGTACTGAAAGCCAAGGTGGGAAATATCAAGAAAAAATTATCCTTGGCACCCTTGAATGAATTTAATTTTTTTAATATCAAAATTTTAATTATTATTTCTGTGATACCTATTACCTCTGAGGAATATAATAATTAGGATAAAACATGAGTAGAGAATTTCATTAATTAGGATATAATTTGACAGGAATATCATGACATTGTCCATTGCTGTTTATATTTGATACCACTTTAAGATTACAAAAAAATCTTTATCTGATTGAAATCTATATTGTTTGGTACTACAGAATAAACAAATATCTTTTAATAATACATATTAGCATTTCATATTCTAATTTCTTTAGAATAAATATATATTTTTAAAAACATAAAAACAGAAATATAAGTTTCTTCTTGAACATATACATTGAAAATCAACCATAAAGTATTCCACTTTTAATATGCTTGGTAGTATGCAATCATTCTAGATTGTAGGCAGTACTCTGTGGCTGATTATAAGCAGCCAGACTCTTACATATTGAATGATACGTGAGATAATTATGTTCTTTAGCTTTGACTTATGCGTCATTTAGCACACAACTTTGTTTTGAGGCAAAATTGTAGATTAATTATTTTACAGTTATTGTGTGTTTGTGTTTAAATGTTCATTACAAAAATGCCATCCAGATAACATTTCTGGAAATATTGAGATATTTAGAAAACAAAGATAAATAAAAAAGAAATATGTATACCTATGTATTTCTCAAAAATATTACAAATCAACTATTATAAGTAACAATAATTGCCATTCATCCTTCTTATAATTTAACTACATAGTTCATGTTTTGTTTTCTTGATTTTTGAAATAGATATAAGATAATTTAAATTTGTTCATTTTTATTATATTCCCAACCTTCATGAGCCTCCCCTATATTCTTTTGGCCAGGAATAAAAAAAGATAAGGAACACAGTGGTGGAAAATCTTTCCCAGCAGAAATCTTAAATTTCTGGGATTAAAAAAAAAATCTGCTTTGTCTTACTCAGGTGATCAAAGCTGTTGAAGAAGGATACCGTCTGCCAAGTCCCATGGACTGTCCTGCTGCTCTGTACCAGTTAATGCTGGATTGCTGGCAGAAAGACCGAAACAGCAGACCCAAGTTTGATGAAATTGTCAGCATGTTGGACAAGCTCATTCGTAACCCAAGCAGCTTGAAGACACTGGTTAATGCATCAAGCAGGTACAATAATAGCCCAAGAAATTTTCTTGAATAGAGCAAATGTTGACCAATTTCATACTCATTTTTTTCCTCTTCATGTACCACAAAAGCAAGAGCAAATTATTAGATTTCCAAATACAAATAAGTTCAGAGAAGAATAGGATAATTGTATGTTGAACTATAAATCTGTCTATATCTGTATATATGTAAGTGTATATCTATGGATATGTATGTGTACATATATTTATATTAATGTGGTAGTACTAACATTCCCCTGCTATACTTGTCCCTCGCTGAAATTTCTTCCACTCTCTTTTGTGTATTTTTACTTTTCTTATTTTCTTTTTCATTGCTATTGCTACTCTACTCTACTTCCTCCCATCTCACCTTTGCCCCAAACAAAATCATTCACTTGTGACAAAAAGGTAAAGTGAGAAAAAAAAATTGGGTTATACTGGTTGTTTCTGAAAAATGAATGTCTTATTATGTACCTACAGTGTCTCATCTAGTCTCCAAGAAGTGGGAGGTTTTCTTTATCATCAGTCTTCTGGAGTCATAATCAGTTATTGAACTGGTTCAAGTTCTTAAGCCTTTATTGATAATATTGTGGTCATAGTAGAAAGAGCTCCCCTGATTTTGCTCACTTCTTTCTTCAAAAATATATGAATAAGCTACATATAAAATAAAGAGGGAATAATTAAAAAAAGAGGAGGTGGGAAATTAAAAAAGGTTAGGGTAATGGCTTATTCTTTAAAAAAAATATACTAATTCCCTATGTATATTGAAGTTCAGCTCTTATTTAGAGAAATTTGGTTCAAATATTTGCTCCATTAAATGTGTTACTTCTAATCCTAACTATATTGCTTCTGTTTGTGAAAAAATAAATTTACTATAATTTAAATTGTCCATTTGTATTTCTTATGATGTTTTCTCTCCTTATATTTGTCAAGAACCTTTTGCCATCTATAGCTGTGAGATATTCTGTTCTCTTCAATGGTTTTTAATACCTTTTATACGTATACAAATCATACTTGTTTTTGTTTCCTATATGTCATTTTCTCTGCATTATGTAGTTTGTCTATAATGGGACCACAGGTTTATAGCTGGTAGCAACTTTATAGGGGCCATCTAGACAGAAATACAAATGTGAAGTCTGGAAGTGCTTAGTAACTTTCCCAAGGAAAAATAGTTCAAAAATGACAGAACTGTGATGCATATCAAAGGCCATTTGTTGAAAATCAAATTCTCTTTCCAAAGTAATTCTCAAAATAACACCTATACTTTATCAATTATTAGATCATTCAGTTTAATAATGTTTAAATTTTCATTTCTGATATAGAAAAAAATAACATGACTTTCTTGAAACTGTAAATATTTATTGAGTTTGTAATAATTATATTTGTCATTTATATAACACTTTCAAGATTTTGAAAGTGCCTTACTTTATCTAACTTAATCTAAACTTTATCTAATTTAATCCTAAAAACAACCTTGAAAAGTAAATATTATTATCCCTACTTTACAGGTGAACAAACTAAGGCAAAGAGAGGTTAACATAGTGACCTAGCTAAATCCACTGAGGCAAGTTTCAAACTCAGGTCTTCCCAAATACAAGTTTTACACTCCAGACTTTTTATATATTTATGTTAAAAAGTTTAAATCAGTTAATTAGTGGAAAACTTGTGATATATAGGAAAGTTGTTTTTCAGTTGTATCCAACTATTCATTACCCCATTTGGAGTTTTCTTGGCAAAAATATTGAAATGGTTTGCCATTTCTTTCTCCAGCTCATTTTATAGATAAGGAAACTCAGGCAAACAGGGTTAATTCATTTGCCCAGGGTCACAGAGATAGTAAGTGTCTGAGGCCAGATTTGAACTCAAAAATATATCTTCTTGACTTCAGGACCAGAACTTTATCCACTGTGTCACTTTGCTGCCCATTGCAAATCTACCTAAGCAATTAAATGTTTTATCTCCCTTATGTCAAAAAGTTATTACTTTAAATTATTTTCCTATTAACCTCCATACTGAGAATATTTTATACACAATTGGAAAAATTCTTATTGGCTACTAAACGTTACACGTAAAATTGGCAACCATTCCATGACTTTCATGAAATTCATATTATACAATTCAAAGGACTCAAAACCATGACAGATGAGCAATCATGGAAAGAGTACCAAAAAGAGAACAATTATGGCACAATTGCTCACTTTTCATGTACTTTCATTGCTATAGTCTGGATTTGACTGAGGCTGATTCCCTGGTATCTTAAATCTAATATTGGGATAAAATAAGACTCACATCAGGCACTTATTGTTGTTAAGTTGTTTCAGTGATGTCCAACTCTTCATGGCCCCAGTTGGGGCTTTAATGGCAAAAGTACTGCTATTTCCTTCCCCAGCTCATTTTACAAATGAGGAAACTGACACAAACAGGTTTAAGTGACTTGCACAAGGTTACAGAAATGTTAAGTGTCTTAGGTCAGATTTGAATTCATGTCTTCCTGACTCTAGGTCTAGCACTCTATCCACTGTGCCACCTAACTACCCTGTCAGTGTGCACTTAACAGTCAACAAATTGAGTTTTACTTGTGTAGAAAAGATACTCAACATGGATATGATATTTAACTCAGGTAGATATAGCCCCTCTTCCTCCCATATGAGCCATCTGTCTGATCAGCTGGGTAGGTTGTGGTGATTTACTCAACCTTTGGGCATCTGCTAAATCTGAAGGTCAGGTTGACTCCACTTTGGTGGGCCTTTTTATATAATCAAGTGAACAGCAAACCATATCAAATTGTGTGAGGTCAACAGAACAATGCATCAACAGGAAGGGTGAAACTGGTTCAGCTCCCTGGGGCAATCAAATCTTGGAAACAACTTCCTTGTATTTTATAGAAAGAAAAGCCTAACCAGTATATAAGGGGGAGTAAATTCTGGTTGACATTGTCCCTATCACAGGCATGTTGATGCTTTGCATATTTTCCTTATTTATGGAATCTGCATTTGCTTTTACCCAGAAATACTGGAGTGTTTTCTTTTCAAGAATACAACAGAATAAGTCATGTCTTAAAAGTAACTTATGTGACTATATTATCTTCTTCTTTCCTACTATATCCCCTACTTCCCTACTCTGGAATCTTCCTTATATTACCAGAAAGGAAGCAGCTGGAAGAGCCCAGAGTTGCATTGACAGCACATTAATATGAGTTCAGAAATGTCATAGAATGGCAAATTAGGTTAAATAAGTATTTTGCATATTATATGAAATTTGTTTACTAGGAAAAGGCCATTTTACAAAGTAAGAATGAATCTTCCATGTACCATTAACTCTCTGAAGAAGCAATTGGAGAATGAATCTTATTACTAATTAGTTTTAATGGCATTTCCCACAAATTAGCAATTAAAAAGGTCTGAGGTGATGCCAAATATGAAAGACTTCTATATTTTCTTATCTTGGGTAGTTTTGATTTGTTGGCATCAGTTAGTCACACCTGGACATATAAAATAATAACACAGAAAATAAAATTAACAACAAATGATTTCTTACTGTTATAGTCTTTAAGGATTTATTTACATCATATTGTATTATGGCTCCATTTGATTGCAAATAACTCCATTTCAAAATTGACTTCAGCTTTATTCATTAGAACAGTTCATTATTCAAATGTCATTTTCCTCTCTGTGATCATCAGCATTCCAGTGTGGCTTGATATCATACTAGCATGACAGTTTGCTTTGATCTTTGCCCAGGGGTTTGAAGTTGTTTTTTGGTTCCTAAGTTCTACACCTAGGACAATTCATTCTACATAACATCATTCTATAAAACTGCATTAAAATAATGGATAATTCTATGAATTCTGAAGTAATCAGGATGTGCTTGCTATATCTATGCAGTTTTTGTTTGTTTGTTTGTTTTAATAAAGACCAGAAATAACTGACTACATAGGACAACAGTCCCCATTTATTTGTTCTTGAAATGAACAATTCCAAGAAGACATTACTAATGCATTTGAAAGATCTGTTATTTAATTGTGGGTTCTCTCGACTGACCAAAGATCACAATTTTTCTGTAATTTAATAGATAAATCCTAGATTTTTGCTTATGGTGCAGAAAAGTTACATAAATAACCCAAGGTAACAAAACACGTAACAGTCAGGGATGGGACTTGAAACTAAAACTTCTTCATTCTAAAACCTGCCTGAAGATTATCTAAATGTATAATGTTTGTGAATTCATATAATTCTCATTTATGTATTACATTTATATTCTGAGTTGCATGAAATTACCTTGGATCAAATTCATGTCCTCTTTAAGTTGAAAGTCTATTGTGATTAACTCTAAAACTTTCTGTATAATTTTTTGAAGGGGGTTGGAGAAAATATTTTACCTGCATATGAAAAAAAGTTATTGTAAATATAAAAACATCTTGATATGGTGTATATATATATGTAGTATATATAAAATTCATAATTTTTAATGTATTTTAGAGTATCAAACCTGTTGGTGGAACATGGTCCACTAGGAACTGGGGCCTACAGATCAGTGGGCGAATGGCTGGAAGCCATCAAAATGGGACGATATACAGAGATTTTCATGGAAAATGGATACAGTTCAATGGATGCTGTGGCTCAGGTGACCTTGGAGTGAGTAATTTTTTTCTAATAATTTTCACATTATTTGTGGGGAAAAGCAAATTATTTGAAAACCAGTATGGACAGGGCCAAGGGAAATCAAATAATCTCTGTCCATGCTCAACAGCTTCCAAAGAAGCATCATCTTTTTTTTTTTTCAGTCTGTGTTGTTGTTAACCAATAAATGCATGGTAGAAGTCAACTTGAAGTCAACGTCATGTATTTCCAATACATTTGCTTCTTTACCTTAAGCAAATAGCATTTTGGTTTGAATAAATGGAAGACTAGTTCCCTAAGTATAATGCTGCTTTGTGTTGTGGGAAAAAAAAGTGTTTTTTTTTCTTGACACAGTTTTTATATTACTATATAAAATAAATGTTACATGAATGTAAATACAAAAAAATAATGCAAGCACAATTGGTATGGCTAGTCCTATGAAGTCACAAAAAATAAGGAACTACACCTTGTCATATTGACTCTGTGTAATGATGCCTAGGTAACACCTAACTTAATAAAAACTGATGTTTTCTCATTGGATTGATAGGTGGTGCACATTTCCATTTTAATAGTGCAAGAATTCAACAGATGCTACCTTTGCTTAGCTATTTGGTGCAAGCTCTGTAAAACCAATTGTGTCCTTTTCTTTTTGCACGTAAAAGATTTAATTGATCAAATCCTATGAAATAAAAATCACTACAATTAACTACAATTTCCCTAATGTTGTCTCTTTGAATTTTTATTATATTTTCTGTATGTACAGTTACTTTAACTTTATCTTTGTGATTTATAAAAATTGGTCATTATTAGGGTGCTAGAGTAGAGGGTTTTTTTAAAGTTAAATTATGAAAGTTATGAAATTTAATGGAAACTTGCTGTAAAGCACTTATTTTGAAGAGATAGTGCTACTTATAAATTTCCATGTTAAAATAACATTAGTGAAAAGGGGTTAAAATGCAGATTAGCAATTATTTTTTAAACTTGTGGTTGTTACCTGGGATAATGTGAGGTAGATTAAGTTACTTGCCAAGGCTTACATAGTCAGTACGTATCAGATTTAGAATCTGAATCTAGGTCTTCCTTCCTCTGAGGCTCTGCTTGGAAAAGAGATTTGCCCAAAAGCATTAAAATCTAACACATACACAAACACGCACACACACACTCATACACACACACATACATATATATGTATATATAGGTATATATATATATATATATACCTATATATATGAGAGATTAAAGAAGGGTGCTAAAATTATTCCAAGCTCTATATATGCCTCATATTCCATTTCCATACACTTTCCCACTAAGCATTTTCTAACCAACCTCATGATCTTAATATTATTGCACTCCTAACTGTGGCCAAGATCATGTGATTTCTATAGCTTCAGCATTTCACATATTCAGAATCCATTATTAAATGGGTCTGAAAGCTCAGTTTGTCCTATTCCCAAATTCCCTGTCCTGACAATACACAAATAATAACTACCTAATATCATATAGAATATATATACACTCTTGGTCCTGACTCTACAGGATTTATGTCAGTGCTACTTTGCAAATAGTGGACTGAAAAAAAAATTACTGATTATTTAAAGATATATATGATTATTTAATTTTTCACTAAAATGTCATTTTAATTTATTAAATTCATTATTTGTCATTTTATATTAAAATGATATTGTAGGTATTTCTTCTACCCATTGTCAGATTACTTGTAAATGTATAATAAACATATTTGCATTAAATGATGCCTCCTTTTGTCATTAAAACTGCTACATATTTAAATCTTTTAAAATTCATGACCTGTCTACTGCTCCTCTTATTGTTGAACTCATATTAAATAATCTTGCAACAGTTTCTAATTTCTTCTTTTCTTCCTACGGGGACCACTTCCTTTTATAAACACATGTTTTATTTGATTCTTTGTTATTTTCCATAGTTTTATTCTCATTTTATTTTCCCTTATGTTTATTGCTTTTTCCTTTAACTGGTGATTTCTTTCTTTCTTTATTCTGGGTTTATATTTTTTTTCTTTTGTATTTAATTCCTGTTTTACCACTGACTTGCACCTTGGTTCCCTCCCTGATTAACTACTCTTGACTTACTACAGGGCTTTCATATCCTCTGCATTCTTGCTGTTTTGTCTCTACTCAGTTACTCTCCTGTCTTTTCATGTTCTTGATGCTTGGGTGGAAGAGTAAGGTAAAACTGAACCTATTCATAGAACCACTCAAAGACCTTCCTAATTATATTCTTTGCCAGTCTCAATAGTAGTCAGACTTAGAGGGTCCATAGATAGTAGGGTACCTGGGCAGTCCCCATCCACAACACTGACATGATAGCCACATGTGACCATAAAGAAATAGCTGCTATGTGAAAACATTTGTCTTAAACTCAGATCCCTTTATTTACTGTCCCTTTTCCAAATATTCTTTACTAATTTCCAGACCATTTTCATTGCAATAGAATGCTAAATAACAAATAGAAAGAGATGAACATATTAGACATGTGGTCAAGATTAGAGGTGAGGAAATAGACTTATCCATTCATTTTGCTGGGTTCTTGTTTTAAAAAAAGGCAGTGATATACTCTAAAATTCTCAACTGTTGATAAAATGAACTGGGAGATAAGCAAAAAGGAACAAATAAGCTTTTAGAAATCAGATGCTGATTTTGTGCAATCATTATTCATCATATTTAAATATTAATTTTTATGGGGCCTATCATCAAAGCAAAGAAAGGGCTACACAAAATAAACAAACAAAACATTTTAGTCCTGAAACACTGCCAGGCCAAGGAGGAAAACAAACTAGAATTTGAAAGAGCACTTTTACAACAGCCCTGGATCAGATAATTAAACTCCAAATCAAATCCCAGCAAGCTAAAGGGCCCTGGATGCCAAAAGCTAATCAAAGGAAATAGGTATTACCTAGTCCCATCAAACCTAGTTTTAGAGAGAGCTAAGACATGGAACACACCACTGTTTATAACATCACTGGGTAATAGGATTAAGAGCTGAAAGAAATCTTAGAAATCATCTATCTCAATACCCTCATTTTACAGGTGAGGAAAGGGAGTGTGGGGAGCAAAGCTTATAGCAGCAAGCTTCCCTACTTGCATCTTGGTATGTAGATTGTTGTAAATAGACTAAAGAGAGGTCTTGGGACTCACTCATTCTACTGTACTCAGTAAACTTTATTATCTGTGCATCTCAGAACCTAAATATTGCTGTTCAATGATATCGAGTGTCCATATGAATAATAACCAGGGCAATGACAAAAACATGTACTCTGTTCTACAATACAGAATTGCAATGCCATAGTGCCTACAGGGGGATTTTGTGTTCTAGGTGAGTTGTGAATGGAATCCAAAAATGTAAGTGAAGGAAAGAATAGCAACTTGCTTTCTGAATTGCCTATCAGACCTACACAGTCACCTTTTGATTATTTAGATAATGGAGCCAGCGTCAACATAGATTAAAATAAATCATGGACAATGACAGTATAGGCAAAGAAAATAAAAGTGATGATGTGTTACATTTATTTTTAAGGGTACGTATTTTATATTGTTAAACTATACATGCTTTTATATAAAGAAGTCAAATATTTTATATGAATCATTTCAGCTCTTTTACAGCAGAGAGAGAAGCATCATAATTAACATTATGATAACATATCTATATATACATAATAATCTGCACATTATAAATGTGGGTATAACCCTCTAGGAACTTCTCATCCAATTCAGCAAAAAGGTGGGGTAAGTGCTCCCCATCCACTATTTCTGACTCCTACTAAAAATAGATTTATGCTGCAATCTCAGTACATAGTTTAAATCAGCCTGAAAATTTTATATAGTCCAATTTGAAGTTGTAACTATGGTGAAAGACTCTGGAAACATACTGAGCTTTAATGTATATGTATTTAATCATTCTCCTCCCTTCTTTTATCCAGCCATTGGTGGTGGGTCTAGTGAGAAGTGATAAGCCTCAGAGCTGTGTAAAACAGAAGGGAGAAATGCAAGGGCTATGGATAATCCACAAACCAGATAAGTCAGTTCTGAATAATTGAGTTGGCTGAAACATGAATTTAACATTTTTTTGTTCTGTTTTTCCCACTCTGCGTGTTTAAAGACTTAAAAATCAAACAGTTTTCTGACTGGTATGAACTAAAAAAATATTGTAGAAAATCATATGAGATGTTTTCTGGACTTTAATCCCACCCAGTGGCAATTCATCATATTCATAGTTCTACTCAAACTTATCATATATTGTCAGTTGAGCTTGAATTGTATGTTATGTAATAGTGGGTATTCTCCTATTTGAATCTATAAGACTCTATTAAAGTATAGTTCCTGTATTCATTTGAATTGGCCTTGAGTATTACTTAAAATTACATGGGATGTATGGTAGAAATTAAAGTAACTTGATGGTTATGGATGAACCAAAACATGACATATTTATGATTCTTTCTAGCTATATATTACCTAGTGCTATCAAATACAATAAGGCCAATAAAAGGGCACACCTGAGCTCCTAATACAAAAGCATTTACCGAAAATCTTTCAAAGTGATGTCTATGCCAGTGATTTTGCCATCAGAAGCACACTTATATTTATTTTAAATTTCACTTTTTTATTAGTATTGATTTACTAAGTTGAGGTATAATTTAGGAAGAAAATTATGAAATCATAAAATGAAAAAGAGGAAAAGAAATAGCACCAGGTATAAAAGTAAAATTAATTGTAAGCTAACTATTTTATAGAACTTTCTTAATACCTGAATACATAGAAAATACATTTAAAGGCACACCTACCTTTAAAGTTGTTCCAAGTTTCTAGTATATAGTCATGAGAAGATATTAACAGTGATTCTAAAAATAAAGGTACAAATTATAATTGCTATATAATGTATTCCCCTGCACCACATATATTAATCTCTGAATTTTATAATGTTTCCTATATATATATATATATACATAACATATATATATAGAGAGAGAGAGAGCTTAATTATGGTGCAAATACTTTTTAAAACTTTCTAGCATTTTTTCAGAGCTTAATAGGAAAAGCCAGATATAGAAAACAGTTGAATACCATAGAACTATTAAAAATACTTCTGTCCTAGAAGTGAGAGAATGGAGTATTATAATTCACTACCCCCTTTCCTCTCATAAAATTTATATCTGTGGAAATGGGTGGGTTCATATCTTTTCTTTATGTAACTCAGCAGTGAAAAGAACAAAAATGGCTTGCATAATAAAATGTTATGATGGGTTTAAAGAAAAGAAAGGAAGGAAGAAAGGAAGGAAGGAAATAAAAGGAAGGAAGGAAAGA